AATGATTCTAAGAAATTATTATTTATCAATTTAATTATATTTATTATTTTAAAAACATTTGTAACACAAATAATTTACAAGATAGAAAATTCTTTTGTGTAAGTTTATTTTAAAATTTTTTATCATTCATTATTTATGTTTTGATCTCACACTGTTTGTTCTTCAAGATTTTATATTCTAAATATTTTACCAAATGTTTCACTGAAAGATATTTTAAAGTTTTATACTTCATTATATTTAAATACTCAACAATGGTAAAACTTTTAAGACGTTTTAAAATTAATTTCTTGAATTCGAAATAAATAATTTTTTACGTAATGTTTCGAGTTTTTGTGTTATGGATTATATTATTCAGTGGGCGATTGTTTTGATTTTTCAATAAATGTGAAGATGTAAAGTAATAAAAATAAATGTGATTCTGATAAAAAAATTATTTCAGGAAAATATTTCTCTTTCTTGAAAATTATTTACAGGTTCATTTCATCATAAAGATCACAAATAATGTAACTTATTTTCAGAAACGTTTAGCAAGGTTAAGATCTTCTATTTTACATAGAATTCTACTTTTCCCAGTTAAGTTTATTTGTTGAAGTAGAAAAACGAAAATCAACGATGCACATCAAAATCACATTTGCAAGCATTATGGAAATCGAACCACAACTGAATACAATTATAATGTCAAAGTCTTGTACAGTCATTTTCAATTTACTATATTATTATAGTTGTTCAACTTATCATGGGTTAAACAGTTATTGTCCTTATTTTACTTATATATAAATAATTTTTTATCTTAAATACTTATATATAAAATATTTTATAATCATCTATTCACACCATATGTGTGTAAATAGTAATTAATTTTTAATTCATTAATTTCTAAAATATTTTGTATAATGAATAATGTTAGATGATAAATCAATTATATTAATATAAAATTTAGGTTAGATATTTTTACGAAAATTCTGTATTAGGTATGTAAAACAATATTTTAAATTCAAATACTATAGAAGTAATAATGAATTAATCATATTAAAAAAATAATAATTGTATTAAGTAGATATGTATTTTTGTAAATAATTACGATATTTTTTTCTTTAAAATACTTTAATTAGACTAATATAATGTTTTATTTTTATTAGAAATTATCCATTATATAATACAATGTTTTTTAAGATAATGAATATGGACAATAGCATTAGTCATGCTACTGTATTTTTTATTTTTTGTGATCATCATCTTAATTTGATGATTTTCTGTTTCTAAATCTTGTTTCTAAAGCAACAATAGACTTTCATAATTTATGAATTCTTTCGTTATGAAATTTTGAAAATAACTCAAAGTTTTACAACACTTAAAGATAATTTTTTTATAAAAAAGGAAATTTTTTAAGAATTAATGACTAATTTGTATTATTCTTCTTTGTAATTTATTCATAAAACTTATTATTAATGTGAATATTTTATAAAGTTAAATAAGTTTTATTTAGATCTTGAAATAAATCATTGTAATCATCATACAAATATAACGTGATTTTAAATTAATTAAAAAAAAAGTAGATGTAACTAATTTATACAGATTTAATGATTCACATAATGTTTGAACATCGAAGTTAAAGAAATATTTTTTTAAATAATTTTCATAAATTGTAGGATATTTTAACTTACTTATGAAAAATATATTAAACAACTTATTTTCCAAGAAAAAATTATAGAAGCTTATACTGACGTGTAAAATATTTATATTTGAGTTTTGATATACCTTGTAAGAATATTTAATATTATAATTTCCAAACATCTATTCTTTTTACATTTGTAAGAAAAAAAAAATTATTACGTTTGGAACTTTAAATTTTTTAGATATTTATGCAATAGAAACTACAATGTTACATATTAATTTTTAATTCTCGGAAAAGATATACATGTTTTTGAAACCACAATCTGCTCATCAATTTATAATGAAAAATTTTGACAAGTTGATGTCTGTTTGTAATACATTATTTAATCTTTTTTGAAATATTTTTACTACATATAAATGAATATTGTAAGTTTTAGGATAATGCTTTGTCAGTTAAAAAAAAATACAATTTTAATAATTAGTTTGGTGTACTAATTTATAACTATATTTACAACTGGTAAATTGATAAAACGTTATATAGATTATCTGCATTAAAAAAAGTTATTCAGAACATACGATCAGGCAATATAAATTTTTATTAATTGTTTTGAAAATTTAGTAATGTACTAGATTATAATTATAAGAGTTGATCACCATAAAACAAAAAATATTTCTACAATACTATATAATCATCTGACAAAAGTGCACAAACATGTGACTCTTTAAATTGGCTCAAACAAAACTTATAAATGCATATAATTCCGGGCTTATAATTTATAAGTTACAAAATAATTTTTATTTAACATAAATCATTGAGTACTTTAGTTATAAGATTTGTGAAATTTATCTGATCCTAGAAATATATTCAACTTTTAGCTAATCCTTTTTAATCCATCTTTAAATTATTGTGTACCCTTATTATTTTTTTTTTTTGCCATTGTAAATTTACAGTATGTACAGTGCTTTTAATACTAAAATATTCTTTTTATTTCAATTTTTTTAGATACCATGTTTGTTTACGATAGCCTAAAAAATGATACGTCTCCAATAATGTAACAATTATGTCTTATTTATGATTATTAATTTGGATTAAAATTTTTCCATTTCCTCAGTCAATGTATTTCCGAAAAGTGTATGCAGAATTTTCGTTTAGCATTGTATTCCGGTTAAATGTAATTTAGATACGTTGTTCCAAAAGTAATATGTTGTTTTATTATAATTTTTCACGGAGGAAAATAATCAAATACAAAAATATATTTAACACATTTCGTCAATTTAATTTTAAATGTCTTCTGATATATTTAATAAGTTAAGTAATACATATAATCATAATACTTAAAATAAATAAATTGTATGTACATAAATTTATAATAAGTTGAACACTATGTATGTTTCGTAGGCGGGGAAGATGAATGCGTTTATTTTTTTAGGTAATTTAAGGTAAGTTTTTACATGAAAATACATTCACAAATTTTTTTATAGGTAACTAATGAAGTATATAGTGTGATTTATTAAGAATTCTACCCTCCAAATAATGATTTTTTCACAAAAATGTGATAGATATTAGCATTTAAAGAACTAAAAAATATGAAGAGGGTAGCGTTAAACGACGCTCTATTTTTAACATAATATACAGCTAAAAATTCTTCCAGTTGGTGCACCCCACTTGCCTATAACTAAAAATAGTTTTCTATTTAACTATTGAGAGTTAGTAAAAAATTTACTTTTAGAAATAATTTTATCTTACATTAAATTTGATAGTTTCTATGATTTATAGAAATAAATCAAATTTTAATCTGTATATTTTATGAAAATCATTATAGGACAGAAAGAATGGTGGGTAATATTCTTAATAAGTTACATTTGTTATAAAACAAATAGTTTTAGTAAAAACGACGATTATCGTAAGTTTTAGTTGATTTGTTTAGTTTGTTTACAATATATTTAGAATTTTTACGCTTCATAAACTTTCTCACAACTGTTAGTGAGTATCACGTTATATTTATACAATTTTCATTCTTAAATAATCAGACAAGAATAATTTTTAAACCATAGAAGTAATAATTGTTGTTTAATAAAAAATAATACATTTTTATTAAAAAAATTTTAAGGTATTAATATTAGTTACAACTCAATATTTTATTAAACAAACTAAAATAATAATTAATGATTAAAAAAAAATTTAGTTTAAATTTGTGGTAATTTTGCACTTAAGTTAATCTGAATTTTTCTTGTCGTTTAAAATAAACTTGACTATGACATAATATTCTCAATGTGATGATAATTGTTGTATAATTTCTGCTTTATTAGACTTTGAAAAAGCCAGAATTGTATACATTTACAATTTTGAAAACAAACAGAAAAGTATTATGTGTTTTATTTTGAACATAATCAATTATCGATGTCTAAAAAGATGTTTTGCCTTGTTATTTAGGTTATGGCTTTCAAAGAGATTCCGTGTTGTCATTTGTTCAGTAAACAATCGCGTTGTGGTATCAGCTGAAAATGAGATTGTTTCACATTATCTAGTGTTGATTGTTTCGTCATACTCTTACTGAAATGCTGGATGCTTTTTTCAATTTCTCCCACCCCCAAATAAAAAAATAACGACCGCCTATACTTCCAGAATATATAATTATATTTAACAACATATTTACAAAACATTATAAAATAACACGATCAATAGAATTAAAAATGCAAACACAGTAGATTTTGTCAAATAAAATCATAAGTTTAAATTAAATCACGAATACATTTTTTTTTAAATGTGTGTTATGACTAGTTTACATTGAGTTATTTTAATTTAATTATTTTATTTTAATAATTTCTTTTTGTTTTCTTGACATTTTTTTGATTATATGGATTTGGAATATCAACAACCGATTCGACAACATACTTTATGTGTATATAGTTATATAGTATATAGTTTATGTATATAGTTGATCTCCAATGTATTTCGATAGATAATTCATTGGAAGTTAGTGATCCATGTATCTATTAACATCACATTAGATATTCGTTACTTAAATTCACTGCACATTCTAAAAACAGTTTTACTTAGTTTAGATAGTTCATTAAATTTGACTTAGAAGTATTCAAAGCATTTTTTGTGAATTATATTTATTAATATTGTAAGTTCGACGAAATAATTGGAAGGATAACATATTTAATAAATGTCAAATTCGTGCATTTGTAATAAATTGTATCATTGACAATTTTTTATGTAAAAACTAAAAAAGTCTGTGAACTGTTTAATTTCGTTTTTAAAACATCATATCTATCGTTTGGGATTTTTAAAATTTGTATTGTATTAAAAAATGTAACACATCAAGATTAGAATATATGTGTGTGTAGTTAGACAATAAGCAAGACTAGCCTTNAATAAGCAAGACAAGCCAGTCAACTCTTAGTTGCCTGTAGAGTTTGTATTTTAGTTATCTGTCCAATAGGTTAAGTGCTGTTTGTATTGTATGTCTCACGGGACCGGATTTACAACTTCCTGGTTGGCGGCGGCGGCCACGACTGCCGTTTATTTCGTTTCCGGTACTTACAAAGCAACACCCGCTTAAACGCTTGCCTAAACACTTTGTTAAATATCGTATAAAAAACAGGATTCACCATCGAACTGGCATAGCCCAGCCAAGTGACTAGATCCATGACGCCTTTGCTGATGTACGCCTCGCATGTTGGGCAAATTGACGGCACTAGGTTAAGAGCGAAAAACGGCGTCCACAGTACTACGAACGTAAAGAAAACTACACCTAGCACTTTTGTGGCTTTTTGCTCCAACCGAATAATTCGACCATGTCTGTATGAATTCCTGATCATCACGCTTGATCTACTGATGTTTTCAGATCTTTGCGGTGTGTTAGGACGTGAGGAGTTTGCGGTAGCTGGAAGCCCTAGTGTGGATCCATATCGCGTCATATGTGTCTGCTGTTTAGAAGATCCTAGTATCGGTGTTTTCTTTCGGATTAATTTTTGAGTCATGGCACGCCTCAGGGGTTGATTTAATCCAGCTACTGAAGTTTTTATCAAATTAGACGATGGTGTCCATCGGGTTACCGTATCGACGGTTGACAATTGTTTAGGCGGTGGCGTTGATGATACAACAGCACCTGACATAGAATCTTGGTGGTTCGGAGGTGGTGGCAGAAGACAGATTTCCTCGTCTAAACCAGGTTTGCGTTGATACTCTGCTTTAAGAAGGGTACCTACAATTTTAGGTTCATTTTCGTCACCACCATTAACCTGTTCGGGGTCGGGTTGATCTGTCCTATCACGAAATTCATCTTCGTGGAAACTTCTCATTCGAACCGGTCGGTTGTGTTGTTGGCTGTCAAATCGTCGACGCATTGAATCGTGTAATGTACCTGATCTTTTTCGATGGCGTCGTCGTTGTCGTTTGGTACGTCGATTTTGTGGGGTATCCGTTTCTTCAGAGTCTACGGATTCATTGAGATAATGTTCCAAGTCATTTTCACAATTCTCATTATCTCCATCGCTTTTAGTCGAAGATAACCTGTTGTTAAACAAATAGGATAGTCATAAGTTTAATTAGCTATCGAGTTTTCATTTTATAAATTAATTAGTAATATAATGAGTTATATTTCATAACAATTTTTAAATATTTACTCAAAAAGTTATTAAGTGGATTTGTCCTGGAACGTAGAAATTTTGAATTTAAATCTAATATTTTAATATTTTAACAGATAAAATTATATGCAATAATTTTGCTGTAATGTTTTTACTAAAACTTTAAAATTTAATTATTAATGAAAACTTACATAATTTAGTTTCTAAATTTATTTAAAATGTAAATTGTTTTAAGATGATTTTTTTGACAGCATGATAAGCCTCGATGATTTTTCAAGTTATATGCATGGTAGTCTGTTATATATTAGATTTATTAGTTCAAAATATTTTATAATAAAGTTTTGTTTTCAAACTCAAATATAAAATTAAGTATAACTCTATATGTTTTAATATATTAATGATAAAATGCTCTTCGAGTTATATAATATTCAGTCTTTAATTTGTAGCTAAACGTAATAATTTCATTTTAATTTTAATCTTAGAAGTGAACTACTAGTGCAATGTTTATTCGGTTGTTATAGATTATTATTTAATATAATAGATTTCATGTATTAGAAATTTAGAATTTTCTTATGATAGTTTAGTTTACCTTTGGAAAAAATTTAAGTAGTTAGGATTCAAAAAAAAAAAAAAAAAAAAATGAGCGAAATGTTTAAATGATAGTTAAAGAAAGTTTCTATAGCAGAAGTTTTAATAAATTCATAAATGCTCTAATTTATCATCGAATTAGCCATAACTTTGTTTATCTGATGCATTATTTATAAATTATTGCTCAGTTGAGCATTAAATAAATTCTTAAGTGTCATTTAATGTGAAATAAATGTAAAATAATATATTTTCGTAGTTTCTAATAATAATTCTTTTTTACCTAGATCTAGTTGGAGAGGTGGGTTTAGATTCTGGTGACGATGCCACTTGTTCTAGACCTCGGGATAGGCGTAGCATTTCTGCACCAAATTGATGTAAAGCTGACATGGTCGACGGTGTGAGTTCCGAATCAGGTAACCATAGTTCTCGAGCATCCAATGAAGTCATTTCCGTATCGGTGGAACAAGCTGACAGATGATGTTTGAACGGAGTGCTTGTGCAACTGGAAATAGGCGTGTTCGGCTGTTGAACGTGATTGTTGATTTTAATATTTTCGTTATCATAAATGCTCTGTCCAATATTAGGACTGGTAGTTTTATCAGTTCTTGTGTTTGAAAATTGTGGTTTATCCAATGCAGTCTCATGGTTGGCTTCTTTCTCGTCTACAGTCACTGAGTTTATCGCAGTCACAGGTTCTCCTGTTTTAGCTAATTGAACATCCGACTCATCCGACCTTGTTCTCCTGTAATTTCTCCTTAGAATCCTACGCCAACTTCTTCCGTTGTTTCCACCTGTACAATTTTCAGTTAATTAATTAATTTTCTTTCAGTTTAAACAATTATTACCAATAAATTTATTTTATAATACCCTCTTATCATTTGTTTGCTAGTAAAAATATAGTTTTAAGTGTACTCAAACGAGTTTTAATTTTTTTGACACTCCTTTAGATATGTTGATCAATTTAATAATCATTTTGTAGCGTATAAATTATATGTATATGATAACTTAAAAAAAAAAAATTGAAAGACCAAAAGCAAGTGTTGTACACGTTTAAAATAATCATTTGTTTATAGCTATAAACTATAGTTAAACCGTTAGTNACACTCCTTTAGATATGTTGATCAATTTAATAATCATTTTGTAGCGTATAAATTATATGTATATGATAACTTAAAAAAAAAATCGAAAGACCAAAAGCAAGTGTTGTACATGTTTAAAATAATCATTTGTTTATAGCTATAAACTATAGTTAAACCGTTAGAATAAAAATATGTTGTACTTGTTATTGATTAATACTGTTTTGATCTATAACAAGATCAATAACTTTTATGAAGTTAAAGGCATGTTATACATGTATATATATAGATACATTCTACAATTTGTTCTTGCTGGTACTTTTTACTAATAATGGTAAATATGAACTTTAAAATATATGTTAAACTGACTACTATGCACTAATTGATATAAACGGCTTTAGTTTTTTTATAATTTTCAAAGAGTTAAAGCTTTCGCAATACATTTTATGAAAGATTAAGTCCTTTTATCTTGTTTAATTAATATATATAGAGTAAATATGAAATTTAAAAGAATAAAATTAAAAACATAAAATATAATGACATATTACTAGCTTTTAGACTTAACAGTAGCTTATTTTATTTTTATTCAACTAAATATCTTTTTGAAACTACATATTTATTGCTAAATTATGCGACATAACTGTTTTATTATTAAAAAAAGAAATACATGCATTTTGTGTTTTTTAATAGAAATATTTTTAATGTTATACACATTATACTGTTAGAAAGTTTTATTTTTCAGGTAATTTTTACATTTTCAAGGTTACATATTAATTGAAAATATAGAGTGCTTAATAGTTTTGGATAGCTCCTCACTTGTTAATTTATTAGATGTAAATTGATTTTTGAATTAAAAATCCAGTTATAGAATATTTCGATTTATGAATAAGTCATTATATCTTAAATTTATTAGCTAACTTAAACTTATATTAAATAATTTAATAAATGTAGAATGTATCTTTTAAATATTAATTTAATTGAGAATACAAGGAATAATTTGGAAATGGAAGATATATTATTGAAATGTATGTAATATTTTGACTTAGAGGGTTGTATCCCCTTCACATTGATTTGTTGTGTTAAATTTTTAGTCGTAATAACCTTTCTTTGTTCTAAAATAAATGATTGAATGAAATATAAAAAAAAACATTAGAGAGAATTGATACAAAACTGGTATATGCATTCCCTAACACTTCAAGAAAGATTTTATTATAATTTATGATATTTTGAAATGCATTAAAATATTACTTCCTGATGACACTAAAAATTATTATCAACATAAATTCTATGTAATTAATCATACGATTTTCATCAAAATTTTGTTTTTAAATTATCATATTTTAAATTATCAATTTCTTTATCGTATAGATTGCAATGTGATATTATTAATATAGTATATTTTGTAAACAGATAACCGTTTTAAAATATTGTTGTTAATGTAAAAAGTAGAATGTATTTTTTCATATTAATTTATTTGTCTATTACATATTTACAGTAATATTAAAACATAAACATGTTTTCCTTGAGCTATATTTAATATAACATTTAATACAACTACACATTGGCTATTACTATTTATTAGTTTCGTATTTTGTGATATATTTTTTAATGATATAATTAATGAAATTATATAACTCACTGTGGTTTGTATTTCGCGTTATCCCAGTTTGTAGATTTTGTCTCTTTGCCGCTAAATGTCGGACGGTCAATGTGTACGTGAGTATCATTACTCCTAAAGGTATGTAAAAGCTTATTATAGATCCGATGAGCTTGTACAATGGATCAGGTATCTGACATGAGCCATTCACCAATACTGAGCTAAGATTCTGAAACATAATAGTTCAATGTAATTCATTTTCAACTAATTGTAATTATGTAGTATAATTTTCTTTGATATTATGTTTAAGTAATTAATTAAATTATAATTTTTTTACAAATTTTTAGATGGTAATTTTCATTAAAAACAATCATTTTAGCAGTGATGACTATTAGGTACACAGGTAACAAATATTCTATCTTTCAGTGAATAAATAAATATTCTTAAGTTCTAAATATTATTGTAATACATAATATGTAAACTTTGACTATATTTTGTTAATGATTAATAAAATCCAATTAAGATTTAATGATTCTATAGTTTAAATTTTGTACTTTAATGTAAAATAGATAATATATTAAATATATCTGCATCGCGTGCATTACTCGACTTAAATAAATAATACAGTCCTTAAACACGTTTTAAAAAATTAATTTTTCAACAAATTATACCCAGAGAATACGTTAATATTTATTGTTAAAAACTGTATTCGATTATATTATAATGTTTTTACCTTCAACTTTCCAAACGATGATTTTTACTTTAATTTTGTACCAAAGAGTTTTCATACTCTTTCAAGTGTAATATCTCTAAAACTTTCCTGAAGACTTTTAATCGAAAATTTAATCTCATTGCAGATCGCCGTAGAAGAAATCAAAAGAAATAATTAATTGCAAAAATGTGACAGAAGAAAGTTATAACAATGACACTGATAAGAACTTTTACAAAATTGTTTGAATAATTATAATAAACTAATATGTATTAAAAATACGATAAAAAGTGTGTTTACTTACTTTTGAGTGCATGAGACTTAATGGCAAACTCATGGCAATCGACAAGAGCCATACAAATGTAATTTTTAGTATAACTCGTCGTCTAGTTTTGTTACGGCCGAATTTCATAGGATATCTCAAACTTAAGTACCTGTCAACACTTATAGTGCACAAGTGCATTATACTAGCTGTGCAAAATAACACATCTAAGCATATCCATGCTAAGCAATAAACTGGAGCAAATGGAAACTCTCCTGAAATCATTCAAGTAATTAATAAATGTCTTATTTNAAACTCTCCTGAAATCATTCAAGTAATTAATAAATTTCTTATTTATCTAATTATATGTGTGTTGTTACTTATTGCTGAATTATAATGAATTTATTAATGTGTTTTAATTGTTAATAAGTAAGACTTCGCTTGCTTAGTTCTAGACATCTAAAAGTTAAATAATGTTTTTCGGATTACATTAAGAACAAATCAACTTTTACTAAAAGTTTCTTAATTTTAAATTTATTTCTGCTAAATTTCACACCCATTGTATGTATAAAATTAAATAATTTTCACGTTACAATTTAACCCTTGGTATCAATTAGCATATCTCGGCAATTTGGTCTATGTATTATTTATTGTTGCGACAATTGGTACGACGTTTCCTGTGGCAGGTGCGAATGGAAATTATTCAATCGACCATTGCCGAGAAACCCTTTAGAGCTGTCACTGTCCTAAAAATAAGTCCAGAACAAAAATATCTATAAATTATAACCTAATTGATTATTTAATTTTTATAGCAATTTATTTTTACTAGGCCACAATTATATAACATATACTACTAAAATGCTTGCATTAAAAACGCTNTTACTAGGCCACAATTATATAATATATACTATTAAAATGCTTGCATTAAAAACGATTTTGTAATTATTTCCTAACTTTTAATTGTTATTTTATATAAAACAATAAGTCAATTTTTATTTTGATAAATGTTTTTTTAATGTTTGAAAGAGATGCATTTATATTATAACTCTTAAATTGAATCTATAGATTAAATTAGTGATTTAATATACTGATCTCAGTATTAAGTTGTTTCAATTAAATTTCTGTTCCGTTTGACTCCTTTGTTGAGCTAAATTAATAATCTTGTTCAATTACTCTACTGATTTGATATTTTTGTACTAATTTAAAATTTTCTATTATAATTGGCATAGTTTTACTAGTTATCAGCCGTCAAACCATCAATATTATATAGATTTACAATAAAACTCGTGGTATAAAGTACTATATTTTCTGTAAATTGAATTGTTTAAATAATAAGCCTGCCTTTTATTCCAACTTTTACACTTTAAAAAGAGTTTTATTATTGTGTAAAAACTAAAGAATATAACAAGAATTTATGACTTGTAATATTATTTAAAATTTAAAATATTAATTTTAATCTAAAACATATTTAACTCAAAAAGCCAAAAAAAGAATTTTAGAACAATTTTACTATCATCAGCGCTAAATAAATATTGACATCTCGACCGAAATATTCCCATATATATTCCTAGTGACTTATAAATCTAGTTTCTTTATGATTTAATAATTTGATTATTAGGGCGATTTAATAAATCTCTTAAATTATTAATCTTAGATGTTACTAAAGTAATATCAATATTTATAAAAACTCTGCCTAGCTCATTCGAAATACCAAAATAATATAAAATGGGAGACTTAATTTTTAGTAATTATTTATATTTAGAGTTATTTAATAAAATAACCCAAAATATAAAACAGAAAAATCGAGCATTTATAAAATACAATATGAATGTTCTAATAAATGTTATGTAGGTAAATAAGGAAAATATAGAAGTCAGGTAAAAAAATTGAAGATATTTTAAAAATTATTTTTTATTTTAATAAAGTTGATAAACCTCTTGTGTCTAAACATTAATTGAAAAATAGCTATTTTATTAAACCCATAAAACTAATTAAATACATAATAATTACAAAGAACTTAATATTAGGGAGGACATATAAAAGTTTTATTCTAAGTATAATTCATTATTAGACTTGTGTTAACTGATAAAACAACAACTAACTAAGTGATAACATCACTGAAGCATAACGTTACTAGGTATTAAGGAGAATTTTTTGTCGGAATGTCAGTTTGTGATGGAAGTTTAGGATAAGGGTGGCCGACTCCAAGTAGTTAGGATTAAGGCGAGGAAGAAGAAAAATAATGTCAGTATGTGATTAGTACTGACAATGATAACATTGTTTTCAAAATACATATAAGCGATTTTTTAGTATTTTTTGTTGTTTTTTGGATTAAGTATTTTTAATACTTTTTAGTTTTAGATTAATATTTTTGATTTTAAATAAAAAATTAATTTTTATAAAAATGAATCAAAATGAAAAAATTTATCATGTGTCTTCTGGCTCATGAAAATATTAATACATAACGTGGATAGAAAACCGAAATTATTTAGATTTTTTGAAAAATAATTACAATATCTAATAAGTTAGTTTACTTACATCGAATATTTTTAAGAATGTGTAAGGTTATTGTTCGGTTGTGGAAACCGAAAATTAATAAAATTGTTTTTAAAACCTAAAATTTAGACTTATTACATAATGTTTTGGGTTTCTATAACCATTTTTAAGTAAAACGTTGCTTATTTCTAGTTATCTAGAAGTTAAAAAAGCTTTTCGAACTATTTGAGGAACAAATCAACTTTACCTAAAACTTTCTTAATTTAAAAATTATTTTTGCTAAAACACACACCAATTTCGTTTCTGTTCCGGAACAATATGTTGGACCGTTTCAATCATTGAAATTCAATAAAACGTTATTCTTTAGAAACTAAATAATAATACGTTCAATTCTCGAAGGAACAGAACAGATAAAACCAATTTTGTTCCGTTCTCATACTATCATATGTCATTAAATGATTAATTTTATTTGGAAAGAGCACTTTCTATGGGTTCCACTAATCATAAAATATATTTTCCTATTGAGGGCAACATTACTATTTAGGTCCTCTTCAGCAGAATAAAGTGGCTGAATTAAGTCTAAAAAACTCGTGTTTAGCCGATCTCTTCTCCATTCATTTTTAAGAAAACTTTCAATAGTTTCGTTTACCTACTATAATACTTTAAAAAACTTATTATTTGTATTATATCGATGCGAAACGACATTATTAATACGATTTGGATGAAACACGAAAATTATAGAAACTGAACGTAAAGATTTTATACAGTTATATTCCTATATTTTTCCAACGGAAATGTTTTAAATTATATGGTTTCGTAACAAACCGTGGAATGAAACGTTCCATTTATTTAACCTGTTCTTTAGTGTAGAAAACAATAAAAAAGAACTTATATAAATATGTTTTGTGGTTGAATTATAAGTATTAATTGATTAAGTAATTGGAAAATGTTTGACATGCATTATCTTTATGTTAAATAACTTGGTACTGTACGTAAAATTTTCTCAAATTTTAAGATGAATTGTTATTAACTTATTAAAATTTTGTGGTAAAAATTAAAATTATAAGATAAAAATTTTATAAAATAAAATTACTTTTAAAGTATTTATTTTGGTAGGTTTCATTCTTATATATAAACAAATTTTTAAATATAACTAGCCATACATACCATAAAACTACACCTTTTTTAGTTAATAGTTTCAAATATCTTAGTATAATGATGAAATAAGTAAATTAATCAACAAAAGATAGATTTATACACATATATTTTGGTAAATGAGTTTTAAAAGGCAAAACTCTATTAAAAAAAGGAAAGAAAACATTTTGCCTGTAATGGTAAAATCTAATAAAAATCTCGTTAAGGTGTTTAAATTTAAACTTCGAACAGTGAACCTTTCTTGGCAAATTCAATTATTTATTATAAAAACGAAAGTACGCACTTCCTTTATGTCTGTGAAACGTGTTAACACTCTCAGCATCGCTTATTTATGAGGCCAATACAATAGTTTGTAAAATATCTAGTGATAATAATAATAATGCAAATATTATTACAACAAATAACAATTCATTGAAAATGATAACTCAAAAGAATGTATAAGTGACCGAGAATAATAAATCGACAAACAACCATTAACTTTTACTTGACATTTTAGTGGCTACTTAAATCTCTAGAGAAATTACGTATGGTATAAAGTACAAAAATCCTGGAAAGTCTAGAATTTAGGTTGTTGTAATTTTATGATAATATCTGATGAATAATGCTGAACTCATGTGTTCAATTAGTAATTATGTTAATTGGTAATTTTGTAATTAGAAATGTATAGCGCTACAAATATAAATTCATTTGATTATATTAACGAAATTTTGTGAGTTGGGTTTTGTGAGTATTTTTCTTATANTGGTCTTTCCAAGTTAGTCGTTTGTCAAAAATGAGGCCTAAATATTTTACTTTATTATTTTGGGGGAGTAAAGTGTTGTAGAGTTTGACTGGAGGACAGATGTCTGGTCGAAGAGAAAAGGTAAATATATATATAAAATTTTATTTATTCTTTAAAAAATCTAGTGACATCTATTCGTTTTTAACTAGAGCATTAAGAAATATATGGTTAAATTACAATTTAAATTTAAGTATGATGCATTGCACGACAAGGTCAACTATCTCATTCTTCTAAAATTTTTTTGTATCTTATTTTTAATTAATTTTAATTTTAATTTTTGAAATAAAATTATATAATAAATTCAATAAACAAAAAAGAATGGCTTTTTATTACAAATGAATGTATTATTTTTCTTAGAAAATCATTATTTATTTAAATTAAAAAAAACTTAGATGTATTTTAAAATTGTGAAGTATAAAAAGTAAAAATTAAAAGGATATTTCTGACTCTGCGCTCAAGGTATCATAAAAATGAATAAATTTAAATTTAAAAGGGTTGTAAAACTAGGTTTTTCTTTATGGACATAAAAAAAAATGTCAAGAAAAACTCCGCTTGAAGCATATAATGTAAATTGTATTATTTTCAATGTAAAATTTGACACAAAATAACATGGTATGAAAAATCAATAGAAAATAATTATCTTGATAGTAGTACATTATCATTGTGTTAAATTGAGAATTATTATAAGGCATTTTTGAGAGGATATTGTTATTGAGGAGGAAGGATATACTTTTGCTGTTGGTGTAGGATATTGTAATATGAAAAATAATTATAATTTTTTTATTATAGCGAACGTCATGAAATATCAGTATGATAAAAATATGGCATATAGATCTATTATCG